CCTTTTGCAGGCACTGTTTCTGGTAGTGGTCAAGTGACAGCTGTCACTAACAGCATCAATGTGCATACTTGCAGTTTCAAATGATGTTCACATAGCCCCTTCTTTTATGCACAAGGTCAAATCATAATTCAATGTCTCAACGGGGGCTCACTTACTCTTTTCCAGAATGTTTTTTTCAGACTCTGCTGGCACAGGTTGAGTCATGGCACTTGTTGAGCTGTGATATTCACTTGTTTTAATATTTATGGGGAACATGGTGGGAAGTGATGAAAAGAATGATTGCTTAGCTTCTTCTTTGAGTGATTGTAACTTTGAAGGTCATAAGCCTGATGTGCACCTGCAAAGGGTAATGAACTGCCTTATTCTGAGGAAAAAGAGACAACCTGCTTTGCCCCTACCCTAGTAGAATGACACTTACTGATATTACATACAGCCAGAAGGAGAAATAAATCTGTTTGGGTACAAGGGGGATGACAGAGCACTCTTACATAGATAAAATTTCTAGTCATATCCATTCCAGGCACTTTGAAAGTTTACCATGACTCAAAAGCTGTGAAATGTAGCTGCACAATGAGTGACTACTGCATCTTGCAAATAGCACAAAACAGCTTTTACTCTAACTAGGTTTTGTCTGCTGGAAAGGCTAATTATGATTTCTGAACTTGCATTGATGGAAAATGGCAGTCCTGACATTTTCTCAACTATATGACACCTCTGCAGAACTGGTAAAAGCAGAGAAGTGTGTCACAATTGTTAGCACCTCCAACAAGCTGGAGATTTGTAAATAAATGGTTTTCAGTAAAAACATGACATGTTCTTCAGAATTCAATTGCAGAACACTTAGTTTTCTTTAACCTCACATCTCAATAGGGCATGTTTTATGGGATCCTGGGGTATGTGGATATCTTACACAGACACAGGAGAGTTGCCCACATGATGATGCCACTGGGTGCCAGAAGTTAGCCATAGGTTCAAAATGGGTTGTCATTTTAAAGCACAGTGATGGGAGAGTTTGGCTTAAAAGAGAAGAAAGGAGAAAAATGGAGTGTGGCTGACATGGCAGCTGCTCTACAAGGCTGATCTGACAGCCAATCAACTTGCGTTCTGGATTAATGTGCTAGAAAATGTGAGTGTGCAAAGGCAGTTGCATAAACATGCCATGTATTAAGATACGGATTTGCTTGATTTTCCATTTTTTATAGGCTCAAGCAACAGTAAGACCTTTCTCTTCCAGAATTCGTCCTACAACAGCATGTTAGATCAGTGAATATTTCAAAACTGCTGCTTTCAGCAGCACAAAGGGCCAGTCTGAACAGACTTGCATAATACAGAAAAGGGCTCAATAGAGCACCAGTTCTCCAGTGTGATTGACAAGGAGTGGATGATGTTACTACAAACAGTTGGAGAGAGAGTGATTGAAAATAGGACCTTGCACTTGCCTTACATGACATTATTCAATTCTGGGAATAAGAATAAACCCAAAGTGTGTATCAGTTCATGTGATAACAATTACTTTCTTGACAAACAAAGCTATAAAAATGCTGAATGGACTCTTTGATGTTGCTTCTGGCAGAATGAACATTTTAATTAGACAAGACTGGTAGGCAAAGCGTAGGCTGAAACATATCAGTCTCTGTGGTGTTTTGGCCAGACTCCTGTGACTCAAGTCAATTACCAACTATGTACAAATGTAAATATTTATTAGCATTTAATACAAAAATCCTTCTGCATCACTCCTAGTATGGCTGAACTCTGTTTAATGGCTGTTTTGTCCTGTGACCTATTTCATTGCCATCCTATAGTTGAGTTTGAAGCTTTTCATACCTCTGTTGTTATTCACTTGGCCTTCCATCTCCCAAAGCACACCTCATTGTTTCTGCCTCAAGATGGGCCTCTCAAACAGCAAGCAGATCAAAGACCTCTGCCTGGGTCCAGATCAAAATTAACAAATTGATAGAAAGCAGGAATAGAATCTGATGACATTTTTGCTAAGCAGGCAGGCTGACTTCTGCAACATATGTGGTGGCTGTCAGGCAGAGATCCCACCTGTAGAGCACAGGAAGTTTTAGTGCAGAACAGCTTGGGAAGGCAGGTAGAGGCCTGCCACAAAAAGTCTGGAACAAAAACTGTAACTGCAGGGCTATTACAGTGGTGGAGCTACCCTTTGAAGAGAGAGTACTGGTGTTCCTAATGGACTGAAAACAGCATGGAGATCTTGGAGTTACACCACTGCAAGGAGCTGAGCTGTGATAACACAACCCTCTTATAAGGATGCAGCCTGGTTTACAGAGATGTATAAAGAAGCTCAACTTGGTATCTTTTTTCCTTAGTTGATAGCATACACTCTAGATGATGCTGTTTGAATCAGTTTAAGTATTTATGCACCATGCTACCAATCCATGAGTGTAAAGAGGCAGCAAGTTATGGCCTGTGCAAATCAAATATGCTCTGCATATCGAGTTCCCTGGCAACAACTTATTAGATGGAACTCTGAGTTGAAGAGAAGCCAATTACATCACTATTAAACTTTGATGCTCTGCACAGACAGAAACAATCATGCTCCCATCACCATTTTGCACACAGGATTTAGTTACACCCACACAGTCCAGAGAAAGAATAAGCTGTACTCACTTTTGCATACAAGAGCAGTGAACATTATATTTTTAATTTTATAAAAATAATTGGGGAAAGATTCCTAGGACAAGGTCATACCATACCTGTACAGGGGCAGAACAGCAGTGAAAAAAATGGGTAAATATGAATGTGGGAGTTCAAGGCTTGAGCTGATGGTATGGACACACTGATATGTCAAACCACGGATGAATGCTTTCATCCATAAACAGCAAAGTTCAGCTGGGAAAAAAAAAAAAAGGAAAATTTGTCGACTATCCTTAAGAAAAATGCTACAATATTTCTCATTGTTGAATGGAGAGCAAAAGGCATAGTATGCAGTGAACTGTAGAAGGATAAAACACAGGTTACTGTTGGAAGACTTGGCAGGAAGTAACTTAAGACCCTGACTGCAGCTTAGCTGAGAGGTGGATAAAATTACAATATACATGGAAATTGTCTCCTTAAAAAGAGCCATCACATAGTGACAGACTTCACCCAGCACTATGCAGCACATAAAAACTAAAGCCACAGAGGAGAGGTTATTATTGCTATCCAGTTTTTTATTTTACAACTTTACCAGCATTACACATACTTAAGACTGTAGTGCATAACTCTAGTCTGCTAGGAGGCCTTTATCTTGTCATAACCTAAAGGTGTATGTTACATTGTATGTCGATTGTATATCCTAAAGACACACATTAAAGATTTAGAGGTATAATGCTCTCATTATACCAGAAATGTTAATTTTGAATATGAGATTTAACATAAGTCAGCCTTGAGGCACTAATTTTGAATGGTTCACGTAGGTTTAAGAGTTAGGTCTTCAAGGCAAATTACTTCTTTTCATCTCTAAGAGGTTTACAGATTATGGCACTATCGAAGTAAGCTTTCAGCCCTGCACAAATATTTAAATATAATTGCACTTAATTATGCTGGATTTTTAAGGTTGTTAAGGAGAGTTTGCATAAACATTGTCTTTAAAAGGACTACATATAAATAGAACTGTAGATTTACTTAGTTGTCATCTTGAGATATTTATAAAAAGGAATTTCTAAGAAATGGCATATGACACAAAGATAATTCCAGATGCATTAGCAGGAGATACAAGTTTCTTGTAACTAGAGCATCCCAATAAATACCCTCAGAAACATGGCAACAGTGTTAAGAAAGAGCACAATGCTAAAGGAGATAAGACCTGGCATGTAGCTAATTAAAGATGTGGCCAAAGTGATTGTGCTTTCTTTTTATGCAAAATAATGGCTAAAAATGCATGTTAGATGTTGTGACTGAAAATAACTCTGTGAGAAAGGCCACAGCAGCAGAAATGTCAGCACTGCTTACACCACCACAGGAAGCTGGGGGGTATTCCTCTGGTAGAAAAAGGCAAAGTGCTCTCCTGCCAAAACTGGTAAAAAAAAAAAACCGAAACAAAACCAACCATCAAAACCCCAAAAGAAAACACAAACCCGGTTTTACAGCTGTTTGTATTTCTTTAAACACAAATAATTTTGCTGCTCAATGTTTCATCTATTTCATCTTTTAAAGGGGTTGTAACTCATTTAATAAAAAGAAAAATAAAAAGCTAAATGGGAAAGTGCTGATTTTGGGTTGCTTGCAAAAAGTGACTTTCCTTCCCCTAACTTGAGATTATTTTCAAACAGTAAACATATGCTTTCAAATGAAAATTGCTGACTAGTCCTCTATTCATTTCCTACAATTGTCTTGTTACCTAGAAGTAAATGTCCAGGAGGATGTACCTGGATAAAAATCTCTAAGTCAGCAATTTACGTTTAGTAAGTTTTCCTATGTCGTATTAAAAAAAAAAAAAAAAAAGAGAGAGAGAGAGAGAGAGAGAGCGAGAGAGAGACTACAGTGCTTATTCCCTGCCAGATCTCCAGATTTCACGGGGACCGTCCGCTCGTGGTGCAGTTCGAGCCCGGCCATGGGCAGGGCGGGCTCTGTGGTGATGATTTCGAGCACCGCCCCGGTGTGAGAGCCGCTCTAGGTTCGCTCTGCACCGCGGGGCGGGAGAGCGGCACCGGCACCGCAGCTCTGCCCGCGCCGCCGAGGCGGCACCTGGAGCTCCCGGAGCAGAACCAGCCCCGGGGGCGGGGAGAAGTCTCGCCCACCCCTACACCTCCGCCGGGCGGGGCTGGCCGGGCCGGGCACGGGGGAAGCAGCGACCCCGTCCTTACGGCGGAGCAGCGCTTGCCGCCCGGCCGAGGCGAGCGCGGCGGGGCTGCGCCTTTAAGGGGCCGGGGGAGGCGGCGGCGGGCGGGCTCCGGCGCGCCGGGGCCGCTCCCTCCCGCCGTCCTTCCTCCCTTCCCCGCTCCCTCCCCCGGCGCGGTGGGCAGTGCCCGTGGGCCGCCGCCGCGGGAGTGGGACGGGGCGCCGCGGCATCCCGGCTCCCGCAGCCATGGCCGAGCCCCTGCGCCGCCGGCTGCCGCTGCTCCCGCTGCTCCTGCTGGCGGCCGGGGGGCTGCGAGCGGCGGAGCGGAGCGGCGGCAGCAGCAGCGCCATGGAGGAGCTCGCCACCGAGAAGGAGGCGGAGGAGAGCCACCGGCAGGACAGCGTGAGCCTGCTCACCTTCATCTTGCTCCTCACCCTCACTATCCTCACCATCTGGCTCTTCAAGCACCGGCGTGTCCGCTTCCTCCACGAGACTGGCCTGGCCATGATCTACGGTGAGTCCGGCCGGGGCCGTGGCACCGCCCGCGCCTCAGCCCCCGGTGTCAGCCCCGGCGGGGGCGGCGGGGGGCCGGTGCCGGCCGCGCCCCTCCGTGCCGCCGGAGCAGCGCCGGCCGCTGCGGCTGCCGGGCGGCAGCGCCCGGTAGGCCAAGCCCCGGGCAGGGGGAGCCCCTCGCCGCAGAGCCCGACCGCCTCCGCCGGTGCTCCTGGATCCCTTCCCCTTGCCGGCGCCTTTCCTGGGGTTGGGGACAGAATGACACTGAGGGGGGACGTGCGGTTCGCAGCCTCCCGTGCGGCAGCGGAGCGGTGTCCTGCGGGAAGGTGCGTCCCGCCGCCGTGGCCGCGCTGCCGGGGACAGCGCTCCGGTGACCCTGCCCGCCGCAGAAAGGCAGCTCGCCGGCCGTACTTCCAGCAGCCGGGAGTGCCGAGCCGCGCAGGTCATCGCAGAGATGACTTTGGAAAGCGCCATCGCGCTGTCCTCGCCGTGCTGTGGTCTCACCACGCGGAAAGGAGCGTGTTTAGCCTCCGGGTGTGCTCCTCGGCTGTCAGCGCGCTGCTGTCACCTGCGGCTCGCGTTTGCGGATCCCGACTGACCGCAGTGACACTGACCAGAGACCCTGACGCTGTCTGCGGCTCATCCCGAGCCCTCCTGGTGGAACGAGGGCTCTGCTGAGCAGGGTTCGCCCGCTCGTCTGCTCTCCCTGGTGCTGCCAATGCCTGGCGCAGGGGGCGGCAGGTGAGCCTGAACTGGGGACGCAGAGCCCTCGCTCCGCGGGGAACCCCACGGTTGTGCTCGGTGCGCAGTTTGCTACGCAGAGCATAGAGGGTTGCGGCGAAGAGCAGCCATCCATTCGAAAAATTATTTGTCTGCTGGTGATTGGCTACTGCCATAAGCGCCGGGGGCATTTCTCCTTCACCAGCGGAATCTGTTCCTGTTGAACCGTGTGAAACACCTGCCCGATGTTGGTCGGTATAAGCGTATTGAGGGTAACCACACATGAGAAATTCAGCACTCGAGGGGAGGGGGAAAGTGAAGCGTTTCCTCCCCGATAAGTACTACTGCTCTTGAGAGCTATGTGATTGCTTGCAAAGCAGTGGAATTTTCCTCTGCTGATGCTTCCCTTAAACCATCCCAATTTGCTCTTAGTCACTGATCTCTTTGCTGCACTGCTGTGTACTTCACATATGTTCATTGCTGAAAACTGACAAATTAACAACTGGGCATATAAGTAAGTTATGCACTGGTATGATAATGCTTAGCAGCTGAAGAGTGCCCAGGAGACAGTAGATTAACTGTCTGTATTGATCAGAAAAGAGACAGGGTAAGGTAGTATTGAAGATGTTTAGATATTACCCTAGTGTTGTCACCTTTGGAAAGTTCATTTATGATGTTTTATGATCATTTTAGTGGCTTAATTTATGCTGAAAATCTTGTGTATGTGGGTGTGCTAATGCATGCGGTACAAATGTCAGGGCATCAAGGGCATTTGGATATGTGTTTTGATGAGCTGCGTGGGAAATGAGAAATTGTTCAGCTGGAGAGATTCTGCCTCTCATTAGACTCAAATTAGTTTCCTCTAACACGCAGTTCCTGATCTGTGAAAAGATTGTTTGGTCCCCAATTTGATGTGCAAATACTGAAATTTTGTCTTAGGAAAGGCACTATGCTATGTCTCTTTCAGCCCCCCGGCAGCATCCAAATAATAATAATTGGCTCAAACTAGGTGTGTGTCCTCACTTAAATAATTTTGCTTTCATAGTTTGCTCCCCAATATACTTGCCTTCTAAATGAGTCCCCTTATTATATCAAAATACATGCTTTCTCCTTCCCAAACAAACTAACTCTTGGCTTTTCATGGCAAACAGCCTAGGAAGCATGTTTTGTGTGTTCAGTTCCTACCTAACATGGTTAACCTCCATGCTGGTGGTTAAACTCTGCTGAGACCTGGCTTCACTTTAACATTTCACAGACTTTCTATAGAGCACCAAGAACAACCTAGTAAGTGATGTAGTAATTTTCTGTTACACGTCTGCTAACTGGGCTTAAGTCTCCTCTTTCTTCTTTGTTTAAACTGTGGTTAAACTGATAGATGTTTTGCTGATAACTTGCTATCTGAGAAATGTACTTTTAAAAAAGCTATATAGCTATTTAAAGTGCATATGTTTCATCACTCTGCCTTAAACACAAAATCATAAGGCAATATGTCAAAGAAAGAGCATGTAGTCCCAAAAGCACAAGTTCTATTCATGCTAAATAGAATTGAAGTTTAAGGTTGAAACTGTAACAAGGGTGCTGCTCTGTGGAAGTGAAATACTAGCAAATGTCAGCTGCTCCAGCAACAGTATTGCTAATGCAAGTTATGGAACAATTAAAAAATCCAACCCAACCCAAACAAGCCCCAATCCACAACAGAGAAATAAGGGAATTGAAACCTTTCTGACTGTGTATTTCAGCTAGTGATAATGATTGTGATGTCGGTCTGAGTTGGAGGATAACGTGTTCGAGACACGTTTTTCCTGAAGAGGTTTGGTGGTGACTCTGTTATGCAGGCTTCCTGGTTCTGTACTGAGAGGCGTCACCTTGTAGTAGGAGAAACAAGACACAGACTGTGCACCTGGGCAGCTCAGGGTGGACTAAGGGTGGGAGGTGATGGTGGGCATCCTGAGGCTGCTCCTTAGGAGGCAGCCACCTGGATAAGTAGATGTCTCCCGGCAGATGCAGTGGTATCACTGCCACTAGGCAATTACTTTGTCCCTTTTCATAAGTGGCAATTCAGATAACTGGCCACCCATGAATCAGCATAGGTGTCAGTCCTATCAGGTACCTTCTTGTCTGTGGGCCACATGTGCTGGTGCTGCAGATAAAAGTAAAAGCAAATGGGACTTGGGTACAGTGAAAGAAAATCCATATATGAAGAGGAATATAATACGTCTGTTACCTTTTCGGGAACAGAAATGAGAGAGAAACTGTAAATCTTCATGATAAAAAAGATTGTATCTGTTCTGCAATACTCTGTATCAGACTAAGTTTCTGTACCCACAGAGTAGATACAGAAAAGGTCTATTTTTAGCTCATCTGGCTGCAGTGCTCTCTGTTAGAATTGTAGTATCTATCTACACGTGCTAGAGATGACCTAACTCATCCCCACTGCCAGCAAAATAATGTTAGTCTTCATTTTTAATAAGCCACTTTGACATAAGCCTCCTAATACTAGATTTAGGATCATAATTGAGCACCCAGTTTTGAGAACATTATCCTTTCTCTGGCAACCTGCTTGTTCTTCCTGAATATTATTTTAAATCACGTTGTTACAGGCTTTTAAAGTGAGTTTTGCTAAATTTTTTTGACTGCTCAGTATGTTTTAATTGCAATACAAATCTTTAAGTTTGCTTTATGATGTGTGGCTGGGTAGAAAAATTGTAAATTCTTCTTTTGAGAGAAATTTAGAAGAAATGCTATATAGCTTTTATTAATCTGCATGTATTTCAGATCTGCTCTTTGGGCAGGGGTAGTTGGATAGCTTATAATTGCGGGTGTTTCTGAAATATCTTTGGAGTACAATTAATCTATAGTCCTCAGGGCAGTGATTTTGGGTTTCTTTGTTTGTTTCTGTGGGTTGGGGTTTTGTTGTTGTTTCTGTGGGTTTGGGGGTTTTGTTAATTTGTTTCTATAAGGGTAGTGTATTTCATTAAGACAAATTAGTTAATTTTTATGTTTGTTAACTTCATCTTCATGAGAAGTTCTGTCAAATCAGCACTAGAATACCCCCTGATCATGGCATAAGCCAAAGAAGAGAGAAATGGCAACTTGGATTTCTTTTGCATGAGGAAGCCTTTGGTGGAACAGCTGGCTGTTAAAGCTGGTACTGCTTTGCAGCACTGTGTAAGAAACCATGCAGAGGCTGAAGGGGGAAGGTGTTCCTCTGCATGTCCTGTTATTTTCATTTAAATTAGAAAGTTATCACAAACAGATGCCAAATCTGTTATACTGCAGAGCTTACACACCTGCCTGCCTTCTGGTCCTGTGTGAGCACTCTGGTTGTGTTTGCTGGACTGTGCTGAGCTGAGGCGAAGTAACCTCATGTCTGGTGTACAAGCTTGTTGTCAGAGTGAGGTGGTTCCATGACAGATTAATACTGTACATGTCTGGGCCCTGTAGGAGCTGGAGGTTTTTTTTTGTCCACTTGAGAAAATTTCTTTTGGAACCACTTCCAATTTTTCTTTGCTGCATTGCAATAGAAATATCTCTAAATAGGTCTGCCAATGATTGTTTCTGAAAGAACACAAGGACTGAACTGGTCTGTAGATGCAGAGCACCTGCAGCAACTCTAGTAACTTCTGCTCTTGGTGCAGATGAGAAAAAAGAAAAGGAGATGTTGAAGGAATATACAAAAGCTATCAAGTTCAACAGGATTCCCAGAATTACTTCTCAGGAGCTGATGGTGTCCCCATCTTAGTGCTTCTTTATTTAGTATTTGAGTGTCTATATTTCTGGCAAGAGGTTGATGGGAGAGAGGCCTGGGTTCTCACCTGTCTCCTTTTTGTTTGGTAAAGTAGGCCTTTGTTTTAAGATGGTCAGAGAAAGGTGATAGGGCAAGTTTCTTTGGCTGTGTTAACAAAAATATGTGTGGCAACTAGTGTGTAATCTTATCTCTGGATTTCACAATACTGCATTGTAAATTTTCTGTAATGAACTATAATTGGTCATTCAAACAGAATGAACAATTCAGATATTGTTCTTTTAGAAATTTAATTTAAAAATGTTGTGCTGAATAGAAGTGGCTATATATGTGTATTCCTTTGCAGTGTAAGTTTAATAATTATCTATACTTCAGGAAGTGCTTCTGGGTCACCTGTACAGGCAGTCCTGGGCACCATTTAGGAGTATCTGTGAAACACCTTTATAAAATACACTATGTGTTCTGGGCTCCCTAACAGAGTGACTAAAGAGAGCTCTAGACCTCTGCTCTGTGTGCTCCCAGCACAACTGGAAGCA